GTTATGAGGTACATTGGAGCTCCTGTCATTTTATGTCGGCATTACCACAAGCAGGATGTGCCTTAAACTTGTCTCTTCAGGATCTTTGCCAGAGTTTCTCCCTTCCCTATCTGAATGACAAGGTTTCCTTATTCTCTGAGCCCTTGTTTTGCAAGAAATTACATTGAATTGTTTCTGGAGCCAATTCAGGAGTGCGAAGCACAGGTTTCGTGCAGAGCTAACTTTGTTTTTTTTAAAGAAAAATTAGTCTCAGCCTAAATCAGTGTTCAAATTTTATGTAGACCAGCTTTCCCAGCAGACCTGGGCAACTGTGTGAGTGGATACTGTTAAAGTGATTTGCTTTGTGTTTATTTTGGTCTTAGTGAATGGCTAGCATAACGTTAGTTGACAGAAACCAGATTTTAACTGCAGTGTTTTCACACACCCAACTGTTAATTTAATAAGTTCAGAAAGACGTTGGGAGTATAACTAGCACAGTGTCCATAGGCCAAATTTGATGCTATTTAACACAAATGGTATTAATAACCAAAAGTCTCATTTTCCGGTTCTCTAGCTTACAGGCATTATTGTTGATGAGATACTCAATGGAGCGGATGGGACTAACATCAAGTGTGGTGTGGTGGGAGAAATAGGTTGCTCCTGGCCTTTGACTCAGAGTGAACGCAGAGTGCTTCAGGCAACAGCACAGGCTCAGTCACAGCTTGGGTGCCCTGTTATCATCCATCCTGGCAGGAACAGCGATGCACCTTTCCAGATTATCCGCATTCTGCAGGAAGCTGGGGCTGATGCGTCAAAGACAGTCATGTCTCACCTCGACAGGTAAGCAGATTATTCTGCTGTCCTTCTGGCAGTGTTACCACAACTCACTGGGGTTTGGGGGAGCTATTCTGCAAATAGCTAGGTTTCTGTTGTGCGCTGGGATCATGACATGAAGAATTCAAGTTTACTGACTTAAAATATGAAACTGCTTATATGGAGCTTGATAAGCTTCCAGCACTTCGGTGGGGATCAGCTTTTAGGTTCACACTGATAAAGAGATTTGGGGATTTTAAATGCTCTCTTTGAAGGCCTGGGAGCGAGAATAAGAATAAGTGTAGCCACATTTTTAAAAAATGGGGATTCCGTTAGTTCGTATCCCTGCACAAATCACTGCATTTACAAAGCATGGGACATTGAGCAGCTCTCACCAAATTGGGTGGGAACCTGCTGGGTCTCCAGTGTTTTTGAAAACTGGGCCACTCTTAAGGGCCTGACCAAAGTCTCTCAGATACTAATGGAGAACTCCTTGATTTGGCTGGATACTGGATCAAAGCAGAAGCCAGACCTTTTCAGTTCTGCTACAGAAGAAGACAGAAGAAATATTGCTTAGAAAATAGTTGGGTTTTGGATAGTTCTTAGCATAGACCAGAGAGCTAACTTTTAGTTTCCTTTAGACCAAGACCCAGGAGCCCCACATCAGATGTGGAGAGGAATCGGGGTGCTTTTCTCTCTCCAGTTTAGAAACACAGCCTCTTATTACCAAATCAGTTTTGTGTGACCTTGTGCTGCTCCTGGTGAGCTGGAAAATGTCCAAGCATTGATTAGTTTGGCCAGTTGCTGAATAATGAGACTGTTTGTGGTCATATGATTCTCAGCAATTGGATTTGTTTGCCCTCAATGGGAGTGTAATCAGGCAAGAGCACTGTATTCCAAATTTCTAATGGTTATAGGCTCTAGGAGCTTGTAAATCAAGCTACAGGTGTTTTGTATTCACACAGAGCTCAATGTTTTACTTGGGGATTTTAGGAGCATAAAATTCAGTGCCACCAAATTTTATTTATATTTGTTTATATATAAATGATACGGGCATTCTTTATGTATTTACCTGCATTCCATTTTATCTATAGCTATATTTTTCTCTCATTTTTAAAGAAAAACTGGTTACTTAAATCTTCGTATGAAGGAGGACTGAGCAAGCTGCAGGTGTCCATACTTAACGTAGCTGTTTTGATAAAACATAAACATCCAGTTATGTTTTTTTGCCTTTGTATGCTGTTGTAAATCATTGAATTCAGTGATTTATTGGTGGAAAATAAGCAATATAAGTAGGAAAACAGTCAAGACAGAGGTGCAGTTTCACTAACAGCCACTGATGCACAATATGACATTTCCTTATACTCCTTCTATCATTACTTTCACACATTCAGGTTGGCACTTGCTATAACATAGACTCTAAACTACTGTGAAGTTTGGCTTTGCAATGTGCATTTAACATTTTAAGTCTCCTCCAGTGAGAAGAATCCACGTGGGAGCATCCCAGTCCCTTAAATGTGAGATAAATTTGTACATAGCTCCATATTTCATGCCTGCTTTTGACATAGACAGAATGGTAATTTTCAGGTGGGTTTACAGTCAAATGATAAAACTAAAATGCTGGCTACCATGTTTTGCAATTTAGCACCTTAGAACAAAAGGTAGCAAGTGCCCGTAGTGAAACTATGGTGTAGATAAAGGCTGGCAAGCAAAAGCTATTGAGTCTTGGCTTTGGCCATTTATTAGGGATCAAGGTTATAAAGGTATCTTGGTAGAGATCAACATTGATTCACTTGAGTAGCTTTTGTTAGAAGGCTCACAGCAACTGTTATGAGTTGATTTGAGCCTGTTTGATAATGTTTTAGTGGACGTCGCTGTGGTGACTTATGGATGAGGTCCAAACTACAGGATGCTTCCCTGTGTCCCATCTCCTCTTTTGTGCGTTCAGGGCTGCTCAGGGACACGTGTTGCCCAAACACCTAATTCCAGCACAGAGATTAGCAATTCGAGCTGGGAACTGCTGCTGCTGCTGCTACATCCGTGTGGCTTACAAGGGGACCCAATGGCTGATGAAATGAAGCTCTCCTGCTCTTCGTTGGGACAGGGCGCCCAAAAGCACAACACTCATAGTAGTTTTCAGAAGTTGTTCTGGCTGTGATTTTGAAATATATTGTTGGGTGGTTTTTGCCACCTGCACAGGGATGAATACTCTTGGCTACTGTCTCCCTGTGAACTGAGCAGGGCTGGATCTAAAATGACCCGTTCTCTTGCTCTACACTTTGAAAACTCATTTGATAATAAATGTCCAATCTCTGTAAACTGTAGCATTTATTTAAAAATAACATTTTTTATTAATTACAGTTGGCAAGTCTTAGACTCCTGCTGTGATGGCAGGCTTGTTTGAACAAGGGTTTTCTCTCTTTCAACCCAGCTGTTCCTCCTACTTGATCCTGTTGTTAAGTCATAATATTGAAATTGTGACATCAGTCATTTCCATAGCCACAGACTATGATGTAATTGTATAGGGTAAAATTACTTTGTGACATCAATATCTTCAATAATAAAAAAAAATTAAACTACTGCCCTTTTGGTTAACTGTGCTGTTCTTGAGGAAACTTGTGTTTTTCTTAGATGAAAAAAAATTGTGTTGTGGTTATAAAGATAAATTTATAATGTGTCATTTGAGTGTTTTTGTTTTCTTTGGGTAGCTTATACTCTTGGTAAAAGTGTTTCAACGAAAAAAAAAATATTCTGGAGAGCTCTTATTTCAGTTGCCATTCTTTTCTGAATGAGTGATGGGTTTTAGTAGCTTTGTTCCTTCACTTTTCAAATCTGCTGCAAAGCCCATGTCCCAGGTACTCACAGTGCCATTATATATTTTGGTGAGAGCGTTTCCTTAAGGCATTCTGGCCATCTCCCAGTGCAAACAATGATATATTGCTGTTCTAATGACAATCTAGAAACATCACTGTACAGAATAGAAACTAAAGACAGAGTTGTGTATTACCGGTGTGTGATGGATGAAACAAGCCCTGGATGTAGCTGTCTCCTGTAACTCTTTTGGGAAAGTAAATCTGCCTTGTGTAAGTAATGCATTGTCTTTTTTTAAAATGTCACTATGAATTAACCTCCTCCTTAAACGTCCTTCCTTGTTAGGTTGTCTGTTGAGAGGTTTAGTGGTATCAAAAGTAAGTGACTTTCCTGTTTCCATTTAAAGTTTATCATAAATGTTTTCATTATTTCATGGGGGAAGAGTTGGTTTTGTTTTGGGTTTTTTAATGCATGAAGTCCCAGATGAATGTGAGAAAGATAATGCGATGTATCAGCTTAAGGTGCATGTGTCAAACAGGAGTCCTGTTTTTCAAAAGGGTGAATTAAATCTTAGGTTATTGGTTTTGTTCCTTGCAAGTAGGAAGTTGCAAAATACCTATCCTTGTACCATGAAATTTTTTTCCTTTCCGTTACAATGCTGACTTTGTGTTATATATGTTCTGCAGGACTATATTTGATACAAAGAAACTTCTGGAATTTGCTAAACTGGGATGCTATTTAGAGTATGACCTATTTGGTACAGAATTTCTTCACTACCAGTTCCATCCGGATATTGACATGCCGAGCGACAATGAAAGAATTGCAAGGTATCTGCTTCCATGCAGTTTATGCTGTAGCATTGCCATTGACGATGTTATTGGTAATTGTTTTAAGGGCATCACAGAGTAATTCTGCTTGCTGTTCAAAATTGTCTTTTTTCAGACTAAAATAACGACAATTTTTTTTCTGCTGCTGTCATGTCTTTAGGGCAGCATGTATAATTTCTTCTGTCTACAAAGGAAGATGTAGAATCATAGTGTCATAGAAAGTTACTTGAGAAAAAGATCAAGAACTTTTTAAACTTCATTCTTTGTCCTAATTCCATGCTGATTTGGTTGAATTTTATCATTTACTGCATTTATATAGACTGTAAAAAAGAAAAGGCTGGAGATACAGGACGTATGTTAGGGTTTGGCTTTTGTTTGAAACATAGTATTGGAAACCTAGTGCTGCTACTAAGCATTATCTGAGCCTGTTACATCTCCTCATGAATGTGCTAACCGAGCAAAACTCATTGGTTGTCTTGGATGGATTTGATCCGTGCTTCCGTCCTGAAAACCAGACTTTTGTTCTTCCAAGCACTTTATCACCTCTCCTCCCCTTCTCCTTTTGCCCTTTCTCTCTTTTGAAGGATGAGATTCCTGTCTCCTCAGAACTCCCATGCTCCTCACGCTGGCAGGGATACCTCTTCCCTGCTTCTCATCAGCACATGCAGTCTCAGCTCAGCTGCACAGCAAATCTGTTGTGCTGTGCTAACACAAGGTATTGCCAAGGAGATGCATTCCTTGCAGAAACTGTCTGAGACAGGTAGGATCAGCTGGGAACGGGCTTCTCACTCTGTCCGGAGGTGTGATCCTCGTGTGCTATTTGTCCACAGTGTTCATGCACGGTGAAGTGCCAGGTTTCTGAGGGGTGGGGTGCTAGCCCGCCTGTCTCTTTTTTCCTTCCAGAGTCAGAAACAATTCTTTTTTTCTCTTTGATGAGAAAGATTTTATGATCCCTGATCACTAATGAAGTAACTTTCTAGCTTTCACTTATATTTCAGACATAGCTTCCCTGCCCCTCATTGTCAGATTGCCTTGAGACTTTTCTTCTCTGTTTTCAGGCTCTTCTCTTCTTAAGAAGGTGCCGTGGTTACTATTCCACTTACTGCCAAGCATTTGCTGCTGCTCTTAACACTAGAAATTGTTTCTCTCTCTTAACAGGGCTCTCAGTCTTGCACTCAGTATTTTAAACTGTTGCAGTGAATCTGCAGGTTTCACCTTTAGAATGGGTAAAGTTGCTCCCCTCCCCTGTGCCTCCTCCCCTCTCCCGTGCCACTGGAGGTCAGCATGTACAGAAGCACCGTGAGGAGTATGTGTAGAGGAATGGACTATGCCTTGGTTAACGAGTGCTTGTTCAACCGCGGCAAAGTTTTCATTCCAGCCATGATACTTGCTCAGCCACCGGTGTCTCTCCTTAGACATTAGACTCTCTGGCATTTGAGTATTTCTTGCAGCAGGCTGTTTATAGGAAGAAAGTACGAAAAGTTTGTCTTCTCATTGTATGGTGTGAATGTGTGCACTTGAGTTAGAAGTGCCATTCAATGAATTTTGTTGGGCTTTTGATGCACCAACACTGGACATACAATGGTAGTGGCAATCTCCTTAGGGTTTTTTTTGTCAAACAGCACCAGAGAGGTGGAAATCAAATTGACCTTTAAATGTGTCAATGAAAATATTAAATGGAAAATATATGTTCAGGTCTTGTCTATTCAAAACGTAAACTTCTGTAGTCATGCCATACGTATTCAAACACAGTTTAGCTGTGTGTGTACTTATGCATTTTTGCTGCAATCTACTGCCAATGCAAGTAAACAACTGAATTTTTTCAGGGACGGTTTTTCTTTGAGTCAGAAGCAAGTACTTACTAAACTCGCAGGAATGAGCAAAAAGCAGCAATGAGTATGGAATATAAAGGACCATATGCCTCCCCAACCCATGAAATGAGTCCAAATATGAAAGGAGATGATTCTAAGAAGATGTTTGGTCAGCAAAGAACTTAGTCCTTCCAGTGTCATTGCTCTCATTCTCTGGTTGGCTTGTGGTCTCTCTGTATTTCAGGCTGGAGAAGATACTTGTGATGTTGTAATACTACAGTATATGTAGTGTTGTGCACTATTTGGCACTATTTATGGTGTCTTTATGAAAAATGCTAATTTTTTACCGAGTTATATCTTACTTGCATTCTTCCTGCTGCCCATATTGATTTGATCCTGCTACATGTATCTCCTCATAACTAATTGTAATAAAAACGGACAGTAAGGGCTTTCAGATACAGCGTGGTTACTTATAAAACTAGTATTTGCTTTCTTGCTGATCAAAGCACAGTCAGGAAGGTAAGAATTAGAATTTCACAGCACTGGCAAATGATGAAATTGGGTGCCTGCACGAGGAACGAGCACCTTCCAGGTCTGGTCTATCTGTCTCTGCCACTTTAATGCTGCAATCTACTGCCAAACTGAACTGAAGCTTAGTGGGAAACTTAGCAGTCATGCAATACAGACACCCACCAAATAAATTCTAAAAAATGAGCTGAGCAAGGGATTAAGGTGCCCAGGTGAAATGTGGAACGGAAGGACTTGTAGCAGACTGGTTACAAGGCAGTGACCAAAAGGATTACTTCTTTTTCCAAGCTGACTTGCTGTCATTTTGCCAAGTCTGTTTAGCTGGGCTGCTATATTAACTCCTCTTATTTCCTGGCATATGCTAGCACTGTGCAATGCCTGGTTATCTTCTTCTTTAATGAACATCTTTGAAACGTGTTCGGATGATAACTGTCTATATGGAATATGATGCTGACAACTTAAATTTTTTATTAACCCGGTTTGCTAAATGGAAATTAACTAAAGATGTGAAAGTACTTGTGTAAATGAGACAGGCTTTTGTGTAAATTTGTGTGAATGAGACCTGTCACACAGAGAGTCTGGTCCTTTACAAATGTAATGGGACTAGCTTTGTGACAGCAGCAAGAAGTAACCCCATGAATCGATGGTGCTGAGAAGGAGTTTATGTCGGAAACTATTACTTACTCGTGTATATACAACCTGTGTCCCATGCTTGGTGATGCTGAAGTTCTTGAATTCCTCCATGAACTTAATGGGATTGGGAATGCAAAGTCCTGTGCCAGCTGGAAAGAGTTTTCCTCCTCCACTTTGAGATGTGTGGTGGTATGTTTTCAGAGGTGGATTTTTTCATTCAATAAAATAAGTGTTTTAATTTCAATTAAATGTAAGGAATATGTCTTCTGAGTACCTAAAAATAAGTGGGTTTAGTTATAATACAGTCCAGCAGTACAGTAATGTAAAAAATTTAAATCCTGCTCAGTTCTGTGCTGTTGCAGAGTGAGAACCTTTCACTGACGGGTGTACTTTTTACTTTTGCAGGATTCGTATGCTGGTCGATGAAGGCTACGAAGACAGAATTCTGATCGCTCATGATGTGCACACTAAGAATAGGTTGATGAAATATGGAGGTCATGGATATTCACATATCCTTAAAAATATAGTTCCTAAAATGCTAATTAGAGGCATATCCCAAGATAAAATTGATAAAATACTCCTAGCAAATCCAAAGCGGTGGTTGACTTTTAAGTAGGAATAATGAATAAGTATTCCTATTTTATAGGGAAGCTTGATAAAATTCAGATTTGTTTCAAGAGAGCAGTTGTTTTAAAACTTGGTTCTTTTCAGAGAAACTGGAAGTTATTAACTAGATGTGAACAAACTGATTATGACTTTCATTTTTAATTAGAACAACAAAATTATGTATTCTCTCTGCATTTTCTCCCTCCTAAAAACCTGTTCATGAATGATTTACTGGAGATGAGCCTACCTGCAAAATCTTTTCAACTGAAATTTTAAAATAATTGTTTCTAGAGAGTAATCTAATACTATTACTAAAAGTTACCCAAAAATATTTTTGAAGATGTATCATCTGGACTTTGAAGGAAATTACGGTTTTCAGTTAAATCCCCCTTTTCCAGGGGATGATTTTAATCCTTGTAATATTGACAGTCTTCTAATTATCCTTATATTCTTTAAATAATGCTTGATAAAAGGTCTGGGACTTTTAAATAGCTTCCATAGATAACAGAGGGCAAAAGAAATCTCAAATAATTCTAAAAATATGTTGTTTCTTTCTGGTTTAACAATTTACTTATTTTTAACTGAAAGTGTAAAAAATATGTGGAAAAATGTGTTTTCAAATAAAGCAATTTGATGACCTCTTAAACTATGTGCAGTATTATTACGGATGTCTTTTTTTTAATCGCATTAATTTTTTATCCTGAACCTTTGGAATCCCACAGCAATCATGTGAAACTTCATGCAGACCAGCTTCTTTTTGTAAGGATGCAACACCAAAAGTCAAAATATATTACATAATACAGTTTTAATGAGTTGCAATAGTTATAACAAAGGTTGTGATGTAAGTCTTTACAAATCAGTGTATCAAGATATGATGAAAAAGGAAGAAATGTTTGCCTTATATGTGTTTTTCACTTAAAGTGTGTTCTTTGCTCTTGTCTAACTTTAACCAGGGCAGGTGATTTATCCAAAAAATGGTCTTGTCCAGTAGCAGTGGTAGCCTGATTTCAAAAGTTTCTTCAAATTTGACCATATACGTCTTGTAGCATTGAGCTTTTCCAATAAATACCTTAGTAAATATGCATTGCTAGTTGTAAATGATCTCTAGCTTGGTACGTTACTGTTTGATACGACGTAGAAAATCTCTAGCTACAGTGCTGTTGTGAGTGCGCTAACCAGTAAAAGCAACAGTGGAATGAGCAGACATGAAGTCAGTTACACATCTGTTATTAAAATACATTACCTCATAGAAAAAAAACAGGAGTAATCACTACAATGTACGGATATAGGCTGGCACTTTGTCATAAAGTAAAAGTGTTAACCATTCTGGTCAGATAATACACAAGCAACTGGCAGCACGATGTCCCTTTATAAATCCTAGACGAGTTAGACTGGCGGTCCTCTCAGTCAGCCTAGACTAACGCGGCATTTATTTTGAACTGGACAACTCGAAACAGAAACAGAAAGGGTAACATGTTCTGTTTAAGAAAAGCTTCGCTCATTCGGACGAGATGTTTTTAGAGAGATTCATAAAATCCTCATCAGACTTTTACTGAGCAGCCAGCACTGAAGAGCTTTTGTGTCACAGTGGCAATCACTTTCAACATTTCAGTGCAGATAAATCTGAGTTTGTATCCTTAGTACATTAGACAAGGTTGCTTGTAGCAAAGTACGTGAAACAGAAATGCTAGGGGTAGCCTCTATTACTCTTCAACAATTTATAGAAATGTTACCTTGATTTTGCCAAAATGTTAAAAATAAATAAGATAACCAGCTGTGCTAAGGAGCTAGTTAATTACCTTGCTAAAATTTAGGTTTAGAATGAAATCTGCACGTTTTAACCTGAGAAAAATAGACAGCCTCCCCTCCCAAAACCAAAACAAATAATAAATCCGTTTTCCGAATAAAAATACTCTGTGGACATTAGTGGTATAACTGATTTTAAAGCATTTTTATAACTATGTAACTCATAGTACCTGTGTTTAGTTTAATTCTCCAAGCTATTAATCCTTTATATGGATTAAACTTCTTTGAGACTTTATATATATATATATATATGAGAATGAGAAAAATAGGTTTTAATACACACTTTTTTTTTGCATGTAAATATCTGCTTCTTTCTTTGCATATGTGTTATCATTTTTGGTAATATGCTTATCTGTGTCCATTTCATAGGCACGCCTTACTACAAACTGGTAACTAGCTACTGTGGAAAAGGTCTGTGTGACAACATTTTCTCACGTGTCAGACCTCCTACTCTTCCTTTCTGGGAATAATCCCACTAACTTCAGTGAGACAAGACACCTAAGACAAATACGGGGTTGACCCATTATATTCCTACGAAATTCTAGTTGAACATCTGCAGTATGTTAAGTCATAACTATTTTATTAAAAATAGTACCCAAGTACAGACTAAGTCCTAAAAGACTAATGAAGACTAATTGCTGCAAAAAAAACACTCTTAGTCTGAGGATGTGGATGCCAGGCTCGCTAAATATTTACACAACTAACCGTCAAGAATGGGCCTGTAATATTGCCTAAATATATATTTACACATTTACAAATCAAAAGCCAAATCCTTCTTCCACTAACATCAATGGGAGTTTTGCCATTGGCTTCAGTGGAATCAGGGATTCGGTCCAATAGAATAGTTTGTCAACTGTTACATTTTTCAGAAAAAAAAAAGGTGTTTCTTCTATCCTTCTTTTTCTTTTAGAACACAGCTAAGGGGAGACAGAATTTAAACAACTCCACTGGATTGATTTTATGTTAAAAGTCTAATGTAAACCTACAAAGCAGGAACATTGAGTTAAGGCTTGAAGCTGATTAGTTTCTAGTTTTAAATGGAAGGATAAGAAAAGTACAAGGCAAACAATTCCTTTGGAGAGAGAAAGTATATTTTGATTACCTCTTCCTTTTATTGTAAGATCATTCCTCACCACACTATGAGTGGACTCCAAGCATCATTGTTAGCAAGTAAGTCACAAGAACCAAAGCTGAAGTATGGATAAAGCAGCAAGATCATAACACATCAAAGTATCATATACACTGAAGAAATAACTCAGCGTCCTTAGGTGAGGTTTTTTTTTCCTGTAAAAATTTGATCTATGTAGGACTTGATTCGCATGGACACTAACAATGAGGAAGTATTTGCTTTGGCGGTAGTGGATCGCACATCTGTTTAACTTGTTTTGTAACTTTTTAACATAACTTTTCTCTGTGTTGTACAGATGTGAATCAGGTAGCATTCGACTTTTTTTCCCCGCTACTGAGGTGTTCAGTGGTCGCTCTGCTGGGGTGCTTGTTTCATTCACTTTTGCCACGCAAATCCATTGCTCAGAAGAGCAAGCTTCATTTTTGGACTGGTTTGGTGGGTCTTTTTACTCATTATCAATCAGCATAAATAATAAATCCAGAAAATGTGCTGTATTTGTTGTTGTTTCCTCCATGTGCTTTTCCTCCATCTAATTTAATGTAGACTTCATCTCCTGGCTCCAAGTGAAGAACCACGCTGTTACTGGCATAGTCGTAGTTCTGATCAGCATCCTGAGCAATCGCACTAGCTCGAACCTACATAAAATACATAATGAGTGGTTAAGAAAACTCAGATAATTTTTACTGCACAGTGAAGTAAAAGCGTATCCTCAACGTTTTATTCAGCATGTGTACGTTGCCACTTTAAATGTCTAGCAACATACGCTGTGGTTTTTTCATGCGGATATTACAATACAACGTTTGAAACCAAAGCAATAACCTGCTCATTCCTTGGTTAGCATATTAATACACAACTGCTTGCACTCCGGTAAATGTTTGGAGCCTTTTTAAAATACATGCATAATAGCTGGAGATCGGAGAACTGAATCTGGTCATGTGCCAGTTCTACATTGGTGTAACTTCTATTTCAGCGGACCGAGGGATTGACATTGACGAGGATCCACAGTGAGGCCCTATTGATACCAGGCTGGACTTCTTCCAGAGGCACGTTATCATCATCCTACTAATAGGATCATGCTGCAGAAAGAATACAAAAAGTACACCCCCACCCCCACACGTGCACACGCCAATGCACACAAGCAGGTAAGGATCCTAGCTGGGGTTTGGAAAAACTGTTATTGCCGCATTTCAGTAAGCAAACATTTAATTTCTGTATGTTCTAAGAGATGCAGATTTGAAAAATCGCAGGCGAGTCGCTATTTGCTTTAAGAGGTTTTGGAATTAACAAGTAATTGAGGACTTTTCATTTGCAAGTTTCACTTAAACACACGTTTTTTCCCATTTCTCCCTTGCTATTCCACTACTGATTAAATTTGACGTTACTGGCAAACTGGAAGTAATCTTTCAAGATGTATGTTGGTTTCCAGCAATGAATAGCCTGTGCCACTGTGAGCCTCCCAATCATTTATATATAATTTGACCCTGTTTGGTAAAATATTTAAACTTAGTTGTATGTGATTTATTTCAGTGTAACACATCATCTGCTTGTTGCTTGTCTTTGTTCTAGTGTAGTTACAGAGCAGTAAGTGATTTAGTGGTACTGCAAACCTGAACTAAGTAATAATGCATGACTTGGTGTACTATGTGGGGGATTTTATCTGTTCTGAATTGAAAAAATAGGCTATAAGTCACAAATTTCCATGGATTCCTTTCAAAGTTTAAATGATAAATTTCCAAATTAAATTTTCATGTGATACGATCTCACATCAATATTGAAATGTTAAAAGGAGGGGGTTCTTTACCATGCAGGATCTTATGGCATTATGCAGCTTAAAAATCACAGTAGGTAGAAATTCTTTATACACCCTGTAAGAAGAGTGAGAAAGGCTTAAAAGAGTTTTAGTGGTGTGACAATCTGCAAATTTAAACTGATACATGGCATGATGATAAACCACAACTATTTCAGGACTTCTTGATCCCGAATTGCCTGGTGCTGTTTACAGAGGTGATCTGTTTTGCTAGTGTTTAAGCAATAATTATTCTAAGCAGAGGGTATTTCCTCTGGATTAATGACAGCAGGGTGGAGTTGAAGGCTCTGGGCCATTAACCCCGGCAATACCCTCCAAAGAAAATAATGGGCTGAGACTGTTGCTGGTAGTGTAAATGGAAAGGGCAAACGGGAAGGAATAAAAAGGCTATAGGTGAGGTAGAAAAACTTTCATAGAGAACTCGTATCTTGCATACTGGCAAACAAAATGGTTTAAGTTACTTTCCAAATTTCCATTTACATCGTAATGAAATGCTACTTTGTGGCTTTGTCTAAAATGCACTTTCTCTGTGGATAGTAAAGGAGAATTCGAATTATATTAGTGACTATCCTAAGAGAGTCAGCATATGGACACTGACTATAACAGCAATGGATATTTCATTTTTAAGATTCTAGGTAGTACACACTGGCTGAAGAAAGAAAGATTCTGGGTATTGAAAGTCTAGAAACCGAAGTCTAGATCTTACTGCCCTGTGTGTAAACAAATGTCCTGTAAACTCCAGTGTGATATCCTTAGAGGTTTTACCTCCTTGTTTGGTTAGCCAGAGCAATTTCTTTTTAAAGCCTGGGAGAACTGTCTCAAATTAATTCTCAGTGTACTGCTGCAAGAGGCTAAATGTATCTCAAAATCAAACCATTAACAG